TTTTTTTTTTTTTTTTTGAACCATTTAATACTCTTACTTCTCAAAATAAGGTTTAACTAAATGAATTATTCAGGCTTTGTGGTCTGGTCAAGTGATTATGGAGCAAAAGGATGCAGAGACAGCGGGTATTGATGCCTTAAATCGACGCGCTTCTGAAGATGACCGCGTTGATAATACACTGTTGGAAATGTCTGATGGAGTACATCTGATTTTCAAGAAATATTAATTTAAGATTTACCGTAGTGGTCAGAAAGAAACTGGCTAATCCTCAGAATATGGACTAAAGTACTCACTTCTGTAGCTGCTGGTTTAGTCACTGGATGCGGGCAGAACATTTGATAGAATAAATTCTTTTGAAACCGAAAAGCATTCACCCATAAGTAAAGAAAATTAAGGAACATAACAAACAATAAGATGTTTGTTATGAAAAAAAAAAAGGAAGCCTGCTAAATTTTAAATCAAAATAGGAGAAACTTGAATGAAATGTGTGAAGCATGTACCATAAGCGTAATTTGTTGAGGGACGGTGAAATCAAGAAAACAAAAAAGGCAAACAGTAGCTTCATTTTCCAATGCAAATGAAAAAAATCAGTACTTACGTATTTCCACATTGTGCAGAATTTGACAGGTTTCGCTCCAAAATGGATTCCTAGTACACTAAGACGGTATGTATGTGCTACTAACAGCTGTGAGAACTATACAAAAACTGCATGTTTTAGTACGTACAAAAAAGTTTGCCAGATTGAATTGAAATCATTTGTAAAGTTTGTCGCAAAGCTTCAAAATGACATAACTTCGCCTCAGAGGCAATGATTTTACGACAGGAATGAAAAATTTCGACAGCAACGCAGACGGATAGCCTCTGAAAAAGACAAATTTGTTTGACGTTTTTCTGCAAAAAACGGTATGCAGATATTCAAAAACTGGTGCATTTTAATGCCGGTGAAATTTCTTTCTGTTGAACACTATGCTTGACAGATGCACTTTTTCAGTCGAAATAAACGGATTAAGTTTCAATTACTATACAGTAAAATTTTTAACTACCGGTTACCAGTCTAAATAACGTCACTGCTCTCATACTCTTACCTGTTTATGTGCTTTTTATTTAGCATAGGTTTTCTGTAAGTGATTCTGTTTTTTTATGGCAGGATCTGTTAAGATGTTATCAAAATGTGCTTGAAGAAACGCTAAAACCTATCTTATCCCACCCTAACATAAACTTTTTATATCAGTAAACGAGTTTTTGTATTGTTTTTTTTTTCCCCGGTTTTTCTTTACATTATTTCATCTATTCTGAGCAACATTGTTCTTCTGCTTCTCTTTCTTGACCTTTTCAGTAGCTTTTGGATTGCAAAAATAGGAAATTGCATTTGGAACTGCTGGAAGAGAAATCTTAATGTTACTTGGTATCTTGACTTAAATTCCTTTACGGTTCAGCCGAAAGCAATATTTCAGACTTTACTGTTTATACTCTTTGTTATTCATCTGTACCAGGTTCTGTTATTTAAGAAAATCTTGACAAATCAAACAATTTTAAAAAAACATATTTTTGTACAGGAACCAGTTTTTAAGAAAAACCTACTTGCTTTATTTTGTAAAAATATGCCACATTTTTCCAAATTAAAAAAAAAAAAAGCAAGAAAACGCAAGGTAACTTCATTGTCTCGACAAAAAGCGTTAGAATAAAAAAGCAGATCCATGTTTTAAATGTGTTCAAAATTGATATAGGTATGATTTTTTCCATTTAAAAAAGTTATCGTCAGTGAAAAGAGTTATAAATGCATTTAGAAACAACCGCTAGCAAAATTTATTTGGTGATTTTAACGAAAAAAATTGTTAATTCATGGATAAAGAATAAACCGTAATCTGATGAGACCACACTGAGGCAACATAAAGGCGTTGGATGTCGTCTATTTCTTGAGAGTTGTTACTGTTATGAACATCGTAAGGGTCAGAAATAAGTTGTTTTAAACGTCTGCAAATTAAATGGTTTTTTATTCTCGGCTTTTTACTTTGTGACGGTTTTATAGAACACTTTGGCAGAGCTATTTATTTTAAGAGTTAGAATAAAAGATTTTTTTGCTTATCTGGAGGTCATTAAGACTTTTGAGAACACCAGATCATGAACTAATGATAAGCTATTATGTGACTGATGATAAACTTTAAGAGAATGTAGTAACTGGAAGGCTGACAAAGGAGGTAAAAAAAAATTTGTCAATTTATCTGCGGAATATTTTGAACTAGATGGGACTTCTACTTACAGAAGGTTTAAAGTTGCTGCAAAGGCAAAAAATAGCAAAGAAACAGCACTTTAAATTTGTCACCCGATGTTATCAGTGGATATAAATCATATTCAGCGTTAGGTCACTTTTTATCATCTCTCTTGCGGTCTTTGTTCTCTCTTGGTGTTTTTACGTAGTTTAGCTGTTAATCAACTTCAAAAAAGATCCTTGTGCAGCAAAAATGTGTAAGGCTAAAATAAGACTTAAGACCTTATTTTAAACCTTTAAAGGAAACTGACAGTTTTCTGCAAAAAATTCCAGCATACATTTACACAAACTTCATTCAATCAATAAATGTCAAATGAATTTTCCGCTCAATATTTTGCCAATTTGCTGTTTCACTGTCTACAATTCTCAGAACTGTTTTCAAAAGTTGTTCATTTCAGTAAACTTGTATTTGAGATCTTCAATTTTTTAATTTATAGACGTCATTTATCAAACACCCAAATGTATTACAATTTAAAAGAGTTACACAACTTTTTTTATCTAAATTTTTCAGTGTTTGATTTGAAAAAAAAGAATCATCTTGGTGCACTGTCAAATATTTGCCAGTTATTTACTTGAAACTAGGTCTTATTTTAGCCTTGCACATTTTTATTTATCGCTTTGACATTTAATTTTTAGCCAGTTGATGACATCAAACGAATTGTTGGGCGCATTATTTGAACACTTATCTATTTCACTTACCTCAAAAAATCAAATATTGCATAATCAGAAAAAAAGTATAAATAAAAACAAACAATTAGTTGATTAAGATTAGATTCTCTGGTTTTTAGATTCGTTGCACTTATAATCAAACATTAATTCTTATTTTAAACCTTTGAAGGTAACTGACAGTTTTCTGCAGTCCGAGTTAGTTTGTCTGTTCTGTTGATGACTAACGACTTTTATTATAACTGTTATTATTATTATTACTGTTATTGTTAATACTATTCTTGTTATTGCTTTCACTGCTATGATTATTATAATCAGTTAAAAACTACTTTTTTAAATTAAATCAAAGATTTGGGATAATAAGCAGTTCTTCGTAAGTAATCTGCAAAGGTTCTTGGAAACTGTACTATTGTAAAAAGATTTTTTTTTTCTAAAGAGATAACTGTTACCGAAAGTTTTTCCTGATTTTTAGGACCGTTTCTAGCTATTTTCTTGGCTTCAGTTCGCTTAACAAAATCTTATAATTAAAATGTTTCTACAATCACACATTACGTTTTTAAAAAGTTAGGTGTGGCATTCATTCCTCTGACGATTCCAATGGAATTAGTGTTAGTATCTGATATAAGTCACTTCTATTCGATTATTGTTGTCCATTCGTTGGCTTGCAATTCTTCAACAGTATTGTGAACAAAATTTCGCTGAGCGAAATTATACTTTTCGTACTAGCGTTGTTGTCTGATGTAAAACAGAAAAGTTATAGTGTTCATCATGAAGGAACCAGAGAAGACTTTACATAAAAGCGATCCCATATCGAACTACTGTACACAGGTTAAATTGCAGTCTTAATTTTCTGTTATTTGTTTGTTAATCTCTCAAGGTACTGGTTTTTGATCATAGCACTTAGAATGCATTTAAAAAAAGTCGGTTGTGTCAGAGCAAAGTTAAACTTATTTTTTATAGTTATCTGTAAAACAAGACCCTCTCTTAAAAAGGATTTTGGATGATACAATAGACAATCATCCACAGAGTTTCATGATAGGTCCACCTGAAGTTCATCAACTGGGGCAGAATATGATAAGGCTGATTAAGGCAAAACGAGCGCTTGATATTGGTAAGTAGTCAGTTGATCTTAGCCAAAAAGGTAGCCGTTGTTTATCTAACTATTTAACTGTTTAAACAGAAGTTGTTTTTGTTCTGATTAGGCTTAGTTCCTCTCCGACTGATTTTAGGTACGTTCACTGGTGCATCTGCTGTTGCCTGGTCGTTGGCACTGCCTTCTGACGGCCAAGTGATTTCGATTGATGTAAGTCACGAAGCTCTGAAACAGTTTGGCGAACAAGCGATAAAAGCTAGGGAAGACGTTGCCAGAAAAATTACTTTCAAACTTGGTCCAGCACTCGAAACTTTAAGTAAGTGAAAGTCTACTTTCAAAACAGATAACGAACAAATTTTGGCTTCTGAACGTTAACTTTCTGTGTCATGTTCCGTTTGAAGCGTACATAAAAAAGTTATGCCAATGAAATTCTTGTCGTTATTCTACAATTTTCTAGATGGTCTTCTGGCTAATGGAGAAGCAGGAACATGGGATTTTGCATTTATTGATGCCGACAAAGAAAATTACCTAAACTATTATGAGATATGTGTTCAGCTTTTACGTCCTGGTGGAGTTATACTAGTTGATAATGTTGGTTTCTTAATAACGGTTTTGTAGTCAAATGTTTGGTCACTAGAAACATACATATTTCGCCAAGTAGACTAGTTTTTATCCCTAATTGATAAAAAGTGCGAACTAGTCGCTTATTCTACGGCAGAAAACATCGTCTTGATTGTTTTTTTTTTTTTTTTT